ACGCGGGGCTGGGTTGACCTGGTGCCCGGGCTGAGGGAGGCCGGGGCCGGCGGGAGCATGGCGGACGAGAGCGAGCGGTCCGGCCCCGACCACGTCGCGGCTCCTGTGCTGGAGGATAAGGATGAGGCTGAGCTGGAGGGCAAGGCCGCTGGAGGCGGGGGTGACTCCGCGGAGAGCCCCGCAGCCTGCCCCGACGTGTACAGATACATTAAGGGAGACTTGTTTACCTCCGAGATCTATAAAGTAGAAATACAAAACCTTCCCAAATACATCGGGTTTAACGATGTGAAAAAGTTCCTTGCCAAATACGGACTCAACCCTCATAAGATAAAACTTTTTGGGAAGCAGACGTTCGCGTTCGTGACGTTTAAGAGTGAGGAGGAGAGGGACAAGGCCATGAAAGTCCTCCACGGGGTTTTGTGGAAGAGCCGGCACCTGAGCGTTAGGCTTGCCAAGCCAAAAGCTGACCCGATTGCAAAAAAAAGGAAGAAAGAAGAGGAGACGGAGCAGGGAGAGGTGAAGCGGCCGGCTCCCTCTAAAGACAGCGGAGAGGAGCCTCTGAGCAAGCAAATAGCAGATGTGGTGACCCCGCTGTGGAACATGCCCTACGAGGAGCAGCTGGCCAGAAAGAAGCAGGAATGTGAACAAGTGCTGCAGAAGCTGACAAAGTAATTCCTGTTTGTAAAGCTACTGTGATGTTTACAAGACGTGACCTTATGTTGGGATATAGCTAAATTTGCACAAATTGCTATCTCTAAAAAAAAGTAAGCTAGAGGTAGGTCAAAACCCAAATACCCTGAACAAAGTAAATAGAATCTGCGATGCTAGGACTTAAAACCGCCTCCAGCTGACAAAACCTGCCATCGCTCTTTTCGGTCAGCCTTGAAAGTTTGCTAAATGAAGGGGCGTTGTTTTACAGTCTGTTGTTCCATAGTCCTAAACAGAAGGATGTTTATGCCTGTGAAGTTCAAAAAAAATTGGCACTGTCAAATAGTGTAAGAGGTAATCAATCTGTACAGATGGTAAATTACTATTAGGATTTTCTCTCCAAAAATCACCTCCAGTTTTTATGCTTGATCTTTGTACATTGAAGTATCACTTGTGTTATCCCTTGCTTTACCTATGTAGATAAAATTGGCATTCTTTTCATGCATGGGTACCTTGATAGGTCTAGTACATACTTTTATAACTGCATTTAACTCTTTCAAGTTACAGCTCTTGCAAAGTTAGAGAGAGTTTGCCTGTTAAAAAAATCGTCTGGAAGAAAAAGTCTTAATCTAAGAATCTTTTTTATGCCCTAATAAAAAAAATGTGCAACTGTAAACTTCAGTTTTCTTAAATGTGCACTTTACAATTTTTGTTTCTGATTTGGGCAGGGAAATAGGAAATAACAACAGAGCTTTGTTACCTTGGTTGTTCCTGCAGAAGCAGAAGTATAATAAATTGTGTTGCCCGGTAGAGGGAGTGAAAGCATCACCATTACAGGTAAGGTAATCCTAGGTGAAGTATGGAGTGGGGTTAATGAGTTTAGAATTAAATTAATCATTTGGTTTTAAGAAACAGTGGACAAACTGAGTATCTGACTTCATCTTGTAATGAACGATGCATTTTAGACATTGCTCTTTTTCATTATTGCTGTTAGTTCTCATACATCAAAATCCATGACTATCTTCCATATGAACTAAATTAACTGTGTCCATTTGCAAAGACATGTAAGCATATGAAGGTTGTTTCAGGAGAAACTTAGCATGTACAAATAAGTGCTATGTAAATATCTTACATAACTTTATTTTAAATCTAGACTGAATATCGCAACAAATGTGAGTTCTTGATTGGGATTGGTGTAAATCAAGAAGACAAAACTGTGGGTTGTCGTCTTGGCAAATATAAGGGTGGTACATGTGCTGTAGTGGAGCCATTTGATACTGTTCACATTCCTGCTATTGCCAAAAAAGTAGTAAAAGCTTTTCAAGACTACATAAGGTGAGCATAAGTAAAACGAGTTACCTGTAAAGGTTTTGATGTCTTACTCAAAAATATTTATAACATGAATTAAAAGCTTAGTGTTTATTCTAAGCTTTAAGACCTAAGATATACCAGTCTCAATTTTTATCAGTTCTTTGCTGTTTACATCTTGTGCCTAGATCACTGGGTATTTTGCTCTTGCTCTTGCTCAGCTGTTCTGAGATGGGGAGGGACAGGTACCAGCCGAACACAGCTTTATTGCAAGCAATAAGATGTATAAGTTTACTATAAAAAGTGTCTGTTATTTGAGAGCTTCTTCCACCAACTGTAAAGAAATAATCAGAAAAAGGCTTTTTAAAAGAGGAATTTGAAAAACAAAGGTCAACTGCTTCCTTGGATGAAGAAAAAAAATCATCCTACAATAAGGAATCAAAACAAAATCGTAAACTTAAGCAACAATACTTTTTAGAAAAAGTAGTGGTTTCTTTAAAAAGAAATTAAATCCTGAAAAATTGAAACCTTGGAAGAATCATGAAGATGGAAAGTTTAAACTTGGTATGAAGCACAGAAGCCAGTGAAAGCATTATAAATAAAGTTGTGTCATTCTCTGAATGTGGTGAGAAGCTGCCTGTATCCTAGCTTTAATTTTGGATGGGTTAAAATGGGTAAGAAGCTTGTGAGAAGTAGGGAGAGATTATTTTGAATTAGGACATACCTATTTATCAGTCTCTTTTCTTAAGATGTGGAAGTCATTCTTTTCTTTACAAATGAATGTAGCCTCTGTTTGTACTTAACATTTTCCATCACTTTGCATGGTGAGGTTCGTTTGTTTCAATAAACATGAATGTTAAGCAAAAAAACAGTTTTCTGTTGAGTAACTGAGCTTCTGAAAATTGCAGGTCAACTCCTTACTCGGTTTACAGCCCAGAAACCTATGAAGGTCACTGGAAACAGCTCACAGTCCGTACCACCAGGAATGGCCATGTCATGGCAATTGTTTATTTTAATCCTCAGGTATTTAAGTTGACATATAATGTGCAGCCCAGGCACACAGCTTTAAAATTACATAGATTTGATTTTATGAATAGTGCATGCAAAAGAGAATAATTACTTGGTGTAGTTTACCTTTCATTACTACTCTTCTATTTAGACTAATCTGATGCATGGAAATTAACGAGTAATTCATATGCTTATAGAAGTCATACACTAATTCATATCCTTAAGTCACTAAATGATTATTCTCCGTTCTTTCAAATGAAACCTTTAGAAATTAAGTAAAGAAGAGCTAGCTGACCTGAAAATCTCTCTGGCAAAATACTTCACGGAAGGGGTGGGAAAGAGCAGTGGCGTTACTTCTCTGTACTTTGTGGAGGAAGGACAAAGGTGAGGGAGTTGACTTTGTTGTGGGGGTTTGGTTGTTGATGGATTTTTGGTGTTTGTGAC